GATTTCGCAGGCCAGAATACTGGAGTGGGTTGAAGGTTGCCATTTCCTTCTCCAGAGGGTCTTCCCAACCCAAGAATTGAACCTGTGTCTACTACATTGGCAGGTGGATTCTTTACCACTGAACCATTGGGAAGCCCACAATAATAATTTATACCAATAAATAATATCAAGATTCCCACATAATCTTGACATAATTCCTAAAGGATTTCCTAGAGGAAATCCCCATTTTGACTCTCCAAGAGATTAAGATTCCATGCCCAAACTCCCAGTTTAAAGGGCATAGACAATATTTAAATATAAATTTAAAATGTTTAACTTATCATCAGCCTTGATTCATGGACCTAACATTCCAGGTCCTTATGCAATACTGCTCTTTACAGCGTCGGACCTTGCTTCCATCACCAGTCACAGCCACAGCTGGGCATTGTTTTCACTTTGGCTCTACCGCTTCATTTTTTCTGGAGTTATTTCTCCACTCTTCTACAGTAGCATATTGGGCACCTACCAACCTGGGGAGTTCATCTTTCAGTGTCATATCATTTTGCCTTTTCACATTGTTCATGGGGTTCTCAAGGCAGGAATACTGAAGTGGTTTGCCATTCCCTTCTCTGGTGGACCACGCTTTGTCAGAACTCTCCACCATGACAGTCTGTCTTGGATGGCCCTACACAGCATGGCTCATAGTTTCATTGAGTTAGACAAGGCTGTGATCCATGTGATCAGTTTGATTAGTTTTCTGTGATTGTGGTTTTCATTCTGTCCACTCTCTGATGAATAAGGATAAGAGACTTATGGAAACTTCCTGATCAGAGAGACTGACTGTGGGGGAAACTGGGTCTTATTCTGATGGGTGGAGCCATGCTCAGTAAATCTTTAATCCAATTTTCTGTTGATGGGCAGGGCTCTATTCCCTCCCTCTTCTTTGACCTGAGACCAAACTATGGTGCAGGTAATGAGAATAATGGTGACCTCTTTCAAAAGGTCCCATGCACCCTCTGCCGCACTCAATGCCCCCAACTCTGCACAGGCCAATGCCGACCTACGCCTCTGCCAGAGACTCCTGACACTTACAGGCAAGTTTGGGCCAGTCTCTTGTGGGGTCACTGCTCCTTTCTCCTGGGTCTTGGCGCTCACAAGGTTTTGTTTGTGCCCTCCAAGAGTCTGCAAATTAGAAGTGGTCAAAAAGGAGATGTCAAGAGTGAACATCGACATATTAGGAATCAGTAAACAAAAATGGACTGAAATGGGTGAATTTAATTCACATGACCATTATATCTACTACTCTGGGCAAGAATGCCTTAGAAGAAATGGAGCAGCCAACATAATCAACAAGAGTTCAAAATGCAGTACTTGGATGCAACCTAAAAAATGACAGAATGATCTCTGTTCATTTCCNTGGTTTTTCCAGTAGTCATGTATGAATGTGAGAGTTAGACTATAAAGAAAGTTGAGCACTGAAGAACTGATGCTTTTGAATTGTGATATTGGAGAAGATTCTTGAGAGTCCCCCTTGGACTGCAAGGAGATCCAACTAGTCCATCCTAAAGGAAATCAGTCCTGAATATTCATTGGAAGGACTCATGCTGAAGCTGAAACTCCAATATTTTGGCCACCTGATGCAAAGAACTGACTCACTGGAAAAGACCCTGATGCTGGGAAAGATTGAAGGTGGGAGGAGAAGTGGATGACAGAGGATGAGATGGTTGGATGGCATCACTGACTCGATGGACATGAGTTTGAGCAAGCTCCGGGAGTAGGTGATGGCCAGGGAAGCCTGGTGTGCTGCAATCCATGGGGTCTCAGAGAATTGGATATGACTGAGCTACTGAACTGAAATGTTGTTGAAAGATAAATATCCAAGAAGCCTCTATTTGCATTGATTTATTACTCAAATTGTTGATCTTCATTAGAGAGAAGCCTAGTCTTTTTAAACTACAATGTAAAGTAGGGTTTTGTTGGACTTTCATTACCAAGATTTCTCTCTAATTCCATTCCCCGGTCTGAATACTGGACCCATACAATTATAGGAAGTTACATCCTTTTATTTTGTAGCTATGTTCATAGATATCTTCCTGACATATAGATATCTTTATAGAAAGCCATGTAGATGCCATCTCTTTGAAATGTAATTTTAATTTTTCTTTTAACTTTTTTTTTCATTAAGGAAATGAGTAATATTAATTGTTCTTCTTGTTATAAAATGTAACATTCACTCAAGAAAAAGATGCATAAATGACTACTTGTACAATCATTTTACAGGAGTTTTCCTTCTTTGAGAGAGATTATGAGACCTTTTCTCTATGCAATACTGCAGCACATGAAGCATTTATCTGTTATCTATTTAGAGAAGGAAGTTATACAACTTTTGTTTTACATTTACTGTTGTGTACTTACTTAATAGGATCTTCCCTGTAGCTCAGATGGTAAAGAATCTGCCTGTAATGCAGGAGACCCAGGATCAATCCCTGGGTTGGGAAGATCCTCTGGAGAAGGGAATAGCAATCAACTCTGGTTTTCTTGCCTGGAGAATCCCATGGACAGAGGAGCCTGGCGGGCCACAGTCTATGGGGTTGCGAAGAGTCAGACACGACTGAGCAACTAACACTACTACTACTTACTTAATAAATAAGTAAATATGTCTAGCTCCAAAATTGGTTATAAGATTAAGAATAAAATTAAATTAGTGATAAATTCAGGTAGACACTTCTAAGTAAGGTTTAATACCCTGTACTTCTGCCAACTGAAACATTTCTCTCCACCAAAAGATTTTCGCTATATGCAAGGTTCATGTGAAAATGAATCACACGCATGCCACTACTGATTTGTACCTACCAATTTATGATTACTGGTATTTAAAATAATTATGCATAATCATGATTCAGAATACAAAAAGTCGCACAAAAGGAAAACAGGATGGTTTTGATATGTATCATACTTACCCAAGACAACCAGTGTTATTTGCCTTCTGGTTATAAAAATGTTTACTCCATAAATGACTCCAACAAAGCCAACAGCTAATCCTTGTATAACTTTAACTGTAGTTTAGGATCACACTCTCCTCCATAACAATTATCCACATTGTTTAGTTATTAACTTACTTCTTGCAGGAATAAAACTGGAGATTCCATTCAGTCAAAACCAGGCAACTAGCTTTTACTATATATACTTACAACATATTTACATAGAGAATATATAGGGCATATAAGCATACTTGAAACTTTTAGATCCCTTATCCTGCTTTAAGCTCATTTTCTAAATTCTATCTTATAATAACAAGAAGAACAAACAGCATCAGAAGGTGACTTATAAATTAGATAACTGCTGTCTCTTAGGACTGGTGACTATGTAACTGTGCTGTTACATATAAAAATGAAAAAATCAACAAACAATGCAGTAAATACAGTCACTGGAAAATTCTCTTTCAGATTATATGGCTTAAAGCTCCTTGTGTATCTCAGGGTATTTTAATGTTAATTATTGCACATTTACATAAAATGGATATAAAATAAACCTAACAGTGGTAGGGTTAATCACTCTCTAACAAATTGAATAATCCCTGAATTCTTCTGCCCCTTCTCTGTGATCCCACACCTGGCCCTTGATTGGATAGAAGAATTCATAGTGTAGGACACAAGATATAGATCAATTCTGTCCTCCTACAAAGTCACCTCTGCCTATATTTTCCTCTCTTTGGTCTCCATCCATCAGCTTCATTCCAATCTCCTTTAGTGACAGAGTACCTGGAATTTAGTCTCCATTAGACTAAAAAGGGGCTTCCCTGGTGGCTCAGAGGTTAAAGCATCTGCTTCCAGTGTGGGAGACCCAGGTTTGATCCCTGGGTTGGGAAGATCCCTTGGAGAAGGAAATGATAACCCACTCCAGTATTCTTGCCTGGAAAGCCTGGAGAATCCCATGGACAGAGGGGCCTCATAGGCTACAGTCCACGGGGTTACAAAGAGTCGGACACGACTGAGCGACTTCACTTTCACTTTTTTCAGACTAAAGAGGGTCCATGTGGTTGAAAAAAGTCAGACACAACTTAACACTGAACAAGTGTATAAAGGATGCTAGAAACTTAAGTGCCAGTAACAGCAATACTATATTTGATACAATACACCAATGATCTTCATGTTTACTCATCTTCAGAGGCTGATGGTGCAGCAGCTTGCATTTTGAGCAACTGCCTGATATGCCCAGATCCTAAGGTTTCTCCCATTGAGGACAGAAACACAATACCTAGCATTAAGGCTAAGCCAACAGGTTAAGTGATCCTTGAAGAAAGAGACTGTGACTAAATTGAAATGCCTGCAGAGAGGAAGGACAAGTAGACAATAGCTTCTCCAGTCTAAGGGCCTGGGTGGGTGAGAAAAACTGGCAGAGCCAGAAGGAGAAGGTCAGACCTGTGTGTCCTCATCTCCCTTCTTCAAAGGTGGAAAGTACAGAAAAAGGAATGTATTAGAAACACCCAGATAAGTGTAAGATAATCTGAGAACACAAAAGTGTGTGGCCTACATTCTGAGACCTCTGGTAGGAGTCAACTTGGTTGACTTACAAGTATGGTACAATGGTGAAAAGGGTGGGTGAAGAGGATTAGAGAGGTAAGTAAGATAAACACAGCGCTCCTGCCATTCCCTCTTCTTTGGACCAGGAGCTCTTAGAAGTGTTGAGGGGGGCTAATATAGGCTGGCCTTGGGGTCTGGACTGAGAGGTGGGGTATGAGGATGCCTCAAATGCAATAAGCATCCTATTGCATCAGAGTGGTAACAAATACAGGAGTCATTCTGATCCAGTAGGGCCCAGAAGACTGTACATGTATGGGACTCTGGCACCATTACCCCTTTCCTCCCCAAGTTCACATAAGCCCTTACATGCCCAGAAGCCATGTTGTAGAGATAGAAATCTAAAAAGCTGAACATTTAGTTGAAAAAGAATGAATCATTTAAAAGTGATAGCATGGAGCACTTGTATCTTGTAAAAGTGATACAAAGTAACTTCATCACCTCTTGCTATGCCACACAGCCAGGAGCTCACCGGGCAGGCGGGAGCTCACAAGGGTTAGAATGATTCAGCCGTCCTTGTATTGAGCACATGGAAGTATTGAACAGAATGTGCTTATTCTTCACGGGGCAGTGAAAGGGATGATCGACCACTGCTTGCTTCAGTCTGCGGAAGGGAAAAAAAAAAAGAGAGAGAGAGTGAGGAAGTTGGTACCCAAACTTCTGATTCTGTGTAATTGTTTCCATCCTCACCCTCCTTTTTAAACTGTCCTCTTTCAATTTGGCATGGTTTGGCTGGCTGTAAAGTGGGAGAGGTTTGGCTGACAAGACAAGGGTGGCTCTCTTTGATGTCTTTGGTTGTAAAGTTTTTTTAGTTAAAAAACACTCTAGCAGCTGCCAGCTTCTTACCAAAAAACCAAACCACAAAACCAAATGCCATTTTTCACAACTGTATGAATCATTCTTTTTTCCTTTTTATTCTAAATTCTGTTTGAAGCTAGTTTTTGTTCTCTTATATTGCTTTTTCCCCTTTAAAAAAGTGGTACCTCTAAAAACTTGCCTGGGCAAACGAAGGGAAGGAGAGGTATTACAGTTAGCTCTGATCAACCAGCCCCCCAAAACTGGTAAAGAAACAGATGATCTGTACAACACTATAATCCATTAAGACCTAATGATATTTGTAGCCCAGGACACCCAACAAATGCAGAATACAAGTGCATGTGGTATATTCACCAGTATAAAGCATTTGCTGAGCTAAGAAACAAACCTCAGTATATTTAAAAGATTTGCAATCATACAGAATGTACTCTAACTGCAATGAAGCCCAATAGAAATTAGTGACAATAAGATATTTAGAGAAAATTAACTACTTGGAAATAAATGCACTTCCGAATAGTTCATGGGTAAAAAAATCACTAGGGAAATTAGAAAATGTTTTGAACTTAATGTTAATGAAAATACATCATATGAATATTTGTAGAATGCTGCTAACACAAGTGCTTACAGGAAATTAACATTTGTACCTACTGTTGCATAACTTAGGGTGACTGATTTTCATCAGATTTTTCAAGGTTAGCTGCCTTCTCTAATTTAGAGAAAACTGTCAGTGGAAATGTAGGCAAATCCTGAAAATGTGTATAATGTGCTTGTGAAAGGACTTTTTAAAGCAAATACTAGGGGGAAGGGATAGTTAGGGAGTTTGGGGATGGACAGGTACACACTGGTATATTAAAAGTGGCTAACCGAAAGGACCTCTTTTATAGCACAGGAAAATCTGCTCCATGTTATATGGTAACCTGGGTAGGAGGGAAGTTTGGGGAGAATGGATCCATGTACCTGTATGGCTGAGTCCCCTTACTGTCCACCAGAAACTATGAAAACATTGTTAATATACTCAAATACAAAAAAAAAAGTTTTTTTTAAAAAAGTAAATGCTAGGAATAAATGTACTATAACAACATTTGGGGATACATTTTCCTCAGTGTTTAAGTATCTGTGAAATGTTGCTGTAAGTCAATAAAACATGTGATATACACTCAGATATTTGGTTTTGGTGAGCGTTTAATGGAATTCATCTAATGCACAAAGCCAAGTTAAATTAATGATACACAGATGAAAAACCTTACTTATTTACATAGCATGTAGTTTATTGATATTATTTGTTACAAAAATTCCCACAGAGCTAGTGCTTTATACAAACTAAATATTCACAGCACAGGTTGAAACAGTAGAAGTATTGTGCAGATGGAAATTCATTAGTTTAGGTGCTAGATTGAATTAAAGGGGAAAGTAGATTTTTCTGGTGGAGTAAACACTGGTAATTTTTATAAATGCACAGTGATTTTTTTAGGGCTTTTGGGGTACTAGAGTATTGCTTTTCATGCTTTCTGATATTCAGGTTCACAGATTACTAGTGAATAAGTACCATGGGCTTCCCTGGTGGCCCTGCGGTAAAGAATCCACCTGCCAATGCAGGAGACCCAGGTTCAATCTTTGGGTCAGAAAGAGCCCCTGAAGAAGAAAATGGCTACCCACTCCAATATTCTTTCCTGGGATAATCCCATGGACAGAGGAGTCTGATGGGCTACAGTCCATGGACATGCAAAAGAGTTGGGCACTACTGCGTGACTCAACAGCTGTCACTTGTCAAGAAAAGAGGGGATTTGAACCTCTGCACAGGACTTCTTATGAAACTTCATTAGCCAAATTATAACCAGAGGGTCCTCTTTTAATAGTTAACATTAATGTTTTTTCTCCTCTATAAACCCAGGTCAAATCATACCTCCTTTAGGCAGGTTTCATTAACATCTTCTCCCCATCCCCAGACATAGGAGCTCTGGCCTTCCTATTAGCTGCTTAGACTCTTAGTTTTATTATATGTGGTCCTGTCTTTCTTTGTACTTCCCATAGTCCTTGATGTGAGGTTATCAAAGTACCTATCATTCTGATTTGTACATAGCAAGTGCTAACAATACTTGGAAATAAATAACAAATATAATAATAACAATGACTAATATTTACTGACCCAAGAAATGGGGGTGACAGACATTTTATAGTTCGTTATTATCAGTCCTAAAGAAAGGTTAAGTTTTGTGTCTGCAATGTGCCATGAGAGCATCTTCCAATCCCATAACTCCTTGATGCCAGCTTGAGAAGCACACTTAGAGTTTGCCTGATACATGGTAGAGGGTTGTTTTTTGTTGTTCAGTCGCTAAGTCACGTCCTACTCTTTGGGACCCCACGGCGTGCAGCATGCCAGGCTTTCCTGTCCTCCACTATCTACCAGAGTTTGCTCAGATTCACGTCCATTGAGTCAGTGACGCTGTCCAATTATCTCATCCTCGGCTGTCCCCTTCTCCTTTTGCTTTCAATCTTTCCCAGCATCAGCGTTCAGTACCCGGTATAGTGGAGGGCTCACCAAGATTCAGGAAAGAATGGTATTCACATTTTAAAATAATTGAAAAATACCAAAATAAAATAATATTGTGTGATGGGTGAAAATCTTATGGAATCAACATTTTGATGTCCCTGAAGGAAGGTTTTCTGGAAGAGAGCCACATTTATTTGTTTGCATTTTGTCTATGGCTGCTTTCATGGGAAATGAAGTCAAATAGTTGCTATAACAAGGGAAATCCCTGACGGTCCACTGGTTAGGACTCTGTACTTCCACTGCAGGTGGAATGTGTTCAATCCCTATTTGGAAAACTAAGGTCCCACAAACCACGTGGCGTGGCAAAAAAAAAAAAAAAAATTACTCTAAGTCATGCAACTGCCATCCTACAAATATTTTGTTTTTGTGTTTTTGCAGCGCATTGAAGATGGCTTCTTGTTTATTGGTCTTCACAGGCACACCTCATGAGGCCAGCCTTAAAGTTTCAATGGCATAATTTTGAAATATAGGGATGGAGGATCATGCGCCTAGTAAAATAAGAGCAAAACTTTAAATGTTCATGTGTTTTTATTTTTCTTCACTTTATTTGGATAGTTCATGTATCAACCTGGCTTTCATTCCCTCTCCTTTGAAACCATAATATTTATTTTCATTGAAATCATTTTCTGCTTGGTATAAAAATATACTTTAGTAAGCATTAATGCTAGTTAGGGGTTAAGTTTTAATGAAATTTTAAGGCAAAAAAGTCTTAAATCCAGCATGATTCACTTCAAAAGCATAGGTCAAATATCACAGTCCTCGGGGAAATCTTTTTCCCGCCATTCCTTCCTTTGCTGTTTAAGCATCCCGACCTTCCATTAAAATTATAATATTGGATGTCACCTAAACAAACAGCTTTTCCCTAGCCTCTATCTTGTCTCCTTTCTTCTCTTATTTCTTCCCTTACCTTTCTTCCCATCTCCATCTCTATCACCCTATCTTTATCATTTTATTCTTTTCAGGATTTTAAGAATGCAGCCCCTCTGGAGCCCAACTGCCTGAGGTCAAAATTAAATCCACCATCAGTGGATGTGTGACCTTGAATAAGTTACCTAAACTCTCTGTAGCTCAGTTTCTACATTGGTAAGTTGATGAGAATATGTATTTATGGTACCTACCTCAAAAGGTTGTAAAGAGTTGATGAATTACTGTATTGAGGACATTCAAATCATTATACTGTACCCCCTTCAACTTACACAGCATAGTATAACAATTGCCATTTCCGTAAAACTGGAAAAAATATGTGTTTACAATATGTAAAGTAAGGCTTATACCATATTCAGCTCATAATGGATGTCTACTGTTATCATTACTATTATTTTACAAATGNCGTGAGTGTGATGAGCTGTTAGGTCTGTGACTGTGTTATGTTACAGAACAAGAGGGGTTTTACAGAGGTAATTAAGATTACTAATCAATTAACCTACAGTAGGGAGACTATATCAAGTTGCACCTAGCTGAATCATGGGTGCTCTTTAAAAGCAGAAAGTTTTCTTTAGCTGATAGAAAAAAAAAAAAGGAAAGCAAGAATTGTTGAAGAGTGGAGGGATTCAACTCACTGTTGCTGCTTTGAAGATGAAAGGGACTACAGAGAGCCTCCAAGAGCAGAGTGGGTCCTGACTGTCAGCCAGTTTGAGACTTTTGTCTTTTGTGATTAGCAGTAATCTTTTGGCGTTTGAGTACATGTTGTTTTCATTTGTTTGTTTCCCCAAAAGACTCCTAGCTCTCCCCATACCTCTTTGGAGTAATTCCTCAGAGCTATCTGAAAGGCTGTCTCCCAGGTTACGGCCCTCAATGTGCGTGAATGTGTGCTAAGTCACTTCAGTCATGTCAACTCTTTGTGACCCTATGGACTGTTAGCCTGCCAGGCTCCCCTGCCCATGGGAGGGGAATATTCAGTCAAGAATACTGAAGCGGGTGCCATGCCCTTCTCCAGGGGATCTTCCCAACCCAGTGACTGAACCCACATCTCTCGAGTCTCCTGCAATGGCAGGCAGGTTCTTTATCACTATAGTGTCATCTGGGAAGCCCGTGGTCCTTAATAAGGGCCCCTAATAAGGCATGACTTGCAACTTTTAGACTGAGTGTTTTTCTACAGTTGACATTATGTTTGTATTATAGTCATGTTTTCAACTTTTTGAAAATGATATGTTATCTAAAATATAATTAAATCCACTTGAGATTTCACACTTAACTTTTTATAATTTTATTTTGATTGATGATTTTTAACTTTGAGATTTTACTACAGCATAAAGAGTGTTTTGCTTGTCTTTTAAAACTATTAGCTTTAAAAATTTTAAAGAAAACACTTATAATTTGATGACCTCCTTGCTTTTGGTCTTGGACATTCCTATAATGTTAGATGAGAGGAAAAGATCATATTTCTCCAAATCAACTGGTTAATTTAGATTTTTACTCTGTTTCAACATAAAAATCACCAGATCTATTTCTTGGTAATTTATGATTGTCTTATTTGTTTTAAATTTGCAACAGTATTTTCCAATAAGTAAATTCATTGATAGCTTTGATATCAACATTCCCCTTCTTATCATTTTTTGTTTGTTTGTTTGTTTTTGACTGTACCAGATCTTTGTTACAGCATATGGACTTTCTAGTTGCAGCATGCAGGCTCTCTATGCCCAGGGGCATGTGGATCTTAGTTCCCAGATCAAGGATCAAACAAACCTGCATACCCTGCATTGGAAGGCAGATTCTCAACAACTGGATCACAAAGGGAAGTCTCCCTTCTAATCATTTTTTCTTTGAAGAAAACTGAGACAGCGTACTTTTTGAGTATGATATGCTACTTATCTCCATAGAGTCTCAAAGAGTTGGACATGACTAAAGCAGCTTAGCATGCACACATTCATGCTACTTATTTAAGAGCAACTATAATTGGGCTTCCCTGGTGGCTCAGATGGTAAAACATCTGCCTGCAATGCGGGAGACCCGGGTGCAATCCCTGGGTTGGGAAGATCCCCTGGAGAAGGAAATGGCAACCCACTCCAGTACTCTTGCCTGGAAAATTCCATGGACAGAGGAGCCTGGTGGGCTACAGTCCATGGGGTCGCAAAGTCGGACATGACTGAGTGACTTCACTTCACATAACTGGGTAAGTGAGATCTGGTCCTAGAGAAAGAAGAGTAAGTATCAGTGATTGAATGTAGAAAGTGATCAGTAGGAGCAGTAAGTATTTACTTATTAGTAGTAAAAAGATACTTATTTTAAAATTATTTTTCTTAGGGAAAATAAGCTAATTATTTTTAATAAATTGCACTTGGAAAAAGAACAGTGAAATATGTATATATTTTGCTTTACCTTTAGATTTCATATAGAATGTCTTTTATTTTTATGTACAAAATAAAACCAGTTACAGTATTTTAGATGACTTGAATACCTAAATCAAGTTATATTTTATCAAGTAATATTGAAATTATTCATGGCTGCCTTATTCTGGAGAGAGATTTTATAAGATGAATAGAGTAGTTGGTCTTGGTTAGTAACTCTTCATGACCATCAGTTTTCCCCAGTGAGTCTTCAACACCAATCTATAATTTAAGTACTTACTATGATATTAGCTTAATTGTTCAGCCAGGAAACTCTTCCTAACCAGTTGCCAACAAACAAAAACAACAATAGGATATCACTCATTTTTATTTCAAAAATAGCAATTAAATTCAGCAAATTACAGGTTAAATTTCTTTGNTTCCAGTAGTCATGTATGGATGTGAGAGTTGGACTGTAAAGAAAGCTGAGCACCAAAGAATTGATGCTTTTGAACTGTGTGTTGGAGAAGATGCTTGAGAGTCCCTTGGACTGCAAGGAGATCCAACCAGTCCATCCTAAAGGAAATCAGTCCTGAATATTCATTGTAAGGACTCATGCTGAAGCTGAAACTCCAATATTTTGGCCACCTGATGCGAAGAACTGACTTATTGGAAAAGACCCTGATGCTGGGAAAGATTGAGGGTGGGAGGAGAAGGGGTTGACAGGATGAGATGGTTGGATAGCATCACTGGATCAATGGACAAGAATTTGAGTAAACTCTGGGGTAGGTGATGGCCTGGGAGGCCTGGCATTCTGTAGTCCATGGAGTTGCAAAGAGTTGGACATGACTGAGCGACTGAACTGAAGTGAAGGTATATCCTGGGAATTCCCTGGCAGTCCAGTGGCTGGAACTGGGCACTTTCGCTGCCATGGGCCTATGTTCTATCCTTGATCTGGGAACTAAGATCCTATAAGCTATGCTTTGGGGCCAAAAACAATTAATAAATAAAAAAGATATTCTGATTTGTACTTTTTACCTGCAATCACAGGACTGTATATTTGATTGGTGTTCCACTTGGAAACAATTTAGGATATCAGTTCCTAGGTTGGGTATTGATTGACCACATGATGAATATACAGGAAAGTACATTCTGAATTTCACTGGAAACTTGGGAAAAGAAGAAAGTAGACTAAACTATGTGTGTATTTTTATACGCATATGTTTTTATATTTGATACACTCCAGGTTACATTGAGAGCCAATATTTCCATAATTATAAAAGTTTGTTTTTTTTGTCTATAGAACTTCTCTCAGATGTGGAAACCCTAAGATCCTGGACAGAGTTGAAATTCTGTCCTGTCGTTATAATGATCCCTGTGAAGTAACATGTAAAGAATTGATTAATTAGGTTGGTTTCAGATCAACCACAGTATTTTATTTCCTGGTTAGGGAGGTAAGGGATCATGTATTTGCTTTAGCTGTAGAGTATAAAATTCATTATTATACAGATGTTTGAAAAAAGTGTTGCTTTAAAAAAATTATATTTATTTATTTTTACTTGATTGATGATTGTCTTACAATATTGGTTTGATTTCTGTCATATATCAACATGAATTAGCCATAGGTGTACATATGTTTATTTACATATTACTGATAAAGTTTTCTTGAGCTGTCAATTCATTCAGTGGGGATAACTGAGGTAGGGATCAAAATTTCAACTCTCCAGGAATTTCTGGCAGTCTAGTGGTTAGGGTTCCAGCTTTCACTGCTGTGGCCTAGGTTCCACCCCTGGTCAGGAAACTAAGATCCTACAAGTTTTATGGCATAGACAAAAGAAAAAATTTCAATTTGTTAATTCAAGGTATATCATTTTCTTTCAGCTTAGACAGTTTCTTTCTAGTTAAGACAATTTAATTATGTATAACAAACATTTAGTCAACTAAAAACTCAAATTTTAAAAGTCAAGACTATTTGTCCTGTAGTTGCTTCCTTCAAAAGAGGGCATTAGATGAAGGGAAATTGAGGGTCCTCATTATGGTCTTTGTGCTGGTCTGGATTTGCAGTGGTTGATATTTGACATCCACTGACTTACCTAACCTAGTCTTTTCCAATCCATGAGTGTCTTTCTGGCGTTCATCAGTGAAATCTATGGAAATTATGGTCTGTTTATCTTTGACTAGGGCAGAACGAATTGCTTTTCCTATGTGTGCTATCTTGATCTTTGGGCTTCCCTGGCGGCTCAGATGGTAAAGAATCTGCCTGCACTGCAGGAGATCTGGGATCAATCCCTGGGTCGGGAAGATCCCCTGGAGGAGGGAATGACTTCCCACTCAAATACTCTTGCCTGGAGAATCGCATGGACAGAGGAGCCTAGCAGGCTACAGTCCTTGGGGTTGCAAAGAGATGGACATGACTGAGCGACTACCAATTTCACTTTGACCCTAGGTTGTACCACAGACCTCTCATTTCATCTGGATGTATCTCTCACTTGCTATCCTGGTCTGACTGCCTGTTTGAAGTGCTCTGCTATAAGAAATGCTTTGATGTCCTCATTGTAACCACCTTTTTGACTTTCCATCCGTAGCCTCAATACCATTACAATCTCCTCTCCCTTTCCCACTATGAGGATGGTCTCATGATACCAGAGTACAAAGTGGAAGATGGGGCCAAAGCTCCTGATTCCTGTTCTCCTTTCAACTTAACTAATACCCAGCTCCCAGGATTTTAGTCCTGAGAGGTATAGGTAGATCATAACAGACCTCTGAAAGGTTGTTTTCTCTGCCTCTCCTTTTCTTCCCATTATCACCCCTCCTGGAAGAGAAAGTACTCCTTCCGCCTTTCTGAAAGAAAGTAGTTGATGCCAAATCATGGGTTTCCTCTTTCCTCTGATCTGAAATAAAATCCTACCATCCCATTTGCTCAGCCTTGTTCTCTCTCTCTCTCTCTCTCTCTCTCTTTTATTACCCACAGCATACAGCTTGTGCATCTTTGTTCCCTGAGCAGGAGTCAAACCTGGGCCCATGGTAGTGACACAGTGGAGTCCTAACCACTGGACCACCAGGGAATTCCCTCAGCCTTGTTCTTAATACATTCATGGAAGCTCAATAAATTTGAAAAGTATTTTGTTTGTCAACAAATTTTGACATTCAAGTCTATGGACTGCCTAAAAATTTACACCTTGTTGATCAAAAGCTGAACTTTCCCCTGCCCCCTTGGATTTCTATTGTAATCATCATAACTATCCTAGAGGCAAATGGATGGCTCTGGAACCATTTGTTTATTTTTTCATTTAGCAAAAATTTATTGAGCGTATGTTATAGGCTTGGCAGTGTTTCAGGGGCTTAGATGCTAGCGGCAGGGACTGACAATAAATCAAAGAGATAAGGAAGGTATTAGTGATAAATACTAAGAAGAATGAGGCAAAGAAGGGCAACTGAAGTGTTGGGTGGGGAAACTGTACTATTCCCTT